TGTATATTATAAATCTGGATGGGAAAACTAGGGCCCTGAAATATGGAATCAACATTCAAATGGAATGTTCATAATTTGGATATATAATAAAAAATAAGAAATCTAAAAGGTAGGACATTTAAGAGAAGGGAGATAACACAAATGTAGAGTATATATGTACAAGTATGAGTGATAAGTGTCTAGATCTAGAAACTAAATTAGATATTAAGTTGATTATGGTAGAAAAAACAGTAAAAATGTTCCAACCAAATAGTTCCTGTTGCTTGTTTGACATTTAGTCCTTACAAACTTTTTTCTTTTCTTTTTTTTTTTGAGACAGGGTCTTACTATGTAGTTCAGGCTGACCTTGAACTCACTATGTAGCCTAAGTTGGGCTTGAACTCATGGCAATCCTCCTACCTCAGCCTTCCACCATGCCTGGACAATTTATTATTTTTTTTTAATATACAAACTTAACGTGTTCCAAGAAGAATGGATAGAGTTAAATTGTAGATGCCTTCTTTGCCAAGCTAAGTGATGCGAGGTGGATATACTAGGCTGGAGAAACTGGGAGACTCTGTAATTACCTTATAGTCTGAAGATCAGGATAAAGGGGCCACCTATCTCCCATGATTGTAGGCACAAGGAAAAGTAGATTTCCAATGTAGGAGGTGAAGCTGAATGAGTTCATTCCTAGGCTCCTATACTCTGGTCTCAAACTGATGCCGTGGAGGGCCCGTAAAGGGTAGGCTTTCTTGCCAGTTTTCCTCTCTATCGTCAGGTCTGACATTCCTGTCCTGCCTCTAATCCTTGTCCTCTATTGTTGCTGCCTTCCATGTGATCATGTCTTATCTCTGCCAGCTGTTGCTGTCATTTTCTAAACTGGCCAAATCTTAGGAAGGAACTACCTTCTAAACGCTGGCTTTACTTCTCTGCTTCAGTTAGCTCAGTCTGATATATTTGATTTGGTGCTGACAAGGATATGAAGTGCCAATAATTATAACAAAGGGAATTCTTTCAATGGCCAGGAAGGACTTGGCAAGAACACGAAGGGAGATGTGATTTTTCTTTTCCTTTTTCAGTGCTGGCATCAAATCTAGGGCCTTACACATGCTAGATAAACACTCTGCCACTGGCTACATCCCCTTTCAGATGAGAAAATTTTAGTAAGAATTTTTGTTGTTTGCTGTATAGGATGCAGTTAACCTCTTTTATAGCTTTCCCACAAAAATCCTTAGTAAAATGCACATTGTTCATCAGTGCTTTAGTGACTCGTTTCTTTAGTGAGAGGCATGGAGTTTCTAGTTCATCAGAGTTGGAAGAAATAAAATCTTAATCTTTTTCAATTTTTTATTAGTACATGTTTGCATTGCCTATTTGCATTCATCTTAAGGGGTAGGCACATGTACTTAGTTCTTTTTACTATCCTTTCTTTCTCTATTCTCTATCCTCCCTTTCCTATCCCTCTGTTTCTGGATCATGTTTCCATCTGTAAAAGATCCGAGTACAATTTATAAGAACTACGCTAGGTGTCCCTGATACAAGCACTCCTAACACCATGCTTTTTTTTCACTGTAACCAGTTTCTATCCCCATCATGAACATGTTAAATATCACATGGTTTCTTTTATATGAGAAATCTGAAGCATAAACAAATTAAAGTGCAAAGTAAAAGATATATAATATGAAACAAGAGAGATAGAATTTTTGGAAATGGGAAGGGGACAAAGACATAGAGGATCCAGGAGGGAGGGAGGAGAGGAACAGCGAAGGGAATTTGACAAAAAAGAATTAATATGTTACGTACATGTATCAACTCCCTACAATGAATGTAATTATGTATTGTAAACATGTATTAATAAAAAGATTCTACATATATAAATACTATGTGCAATTACAATAGTTGCTAAAGTCTTAAGTGTCTAGATAACACTTTATTCATGTTCTTTAAATAACTGACAGTCCACAGTTTAGGGGATTTAGTTGGGCTGCTAATTTGTTAAGGATGAGTGGTTGTTTGCACATCTGCACAGGTTCAATTTGTTCTTTTCATGCAAATCACATGGGAATGCCATTCAGAGCTTTTAAATCATGTTTCCTGATTAAAAATTCAGTGGGCATTTTGAAAAGGAGAGAACAGAATGAAATACATGTACAGAGAGCTGCAGCAAGATATGGCATCAATTCACTGGGCTTGAGGCTGAAATGTGTCATTCTTGTCCTAAGATCAGGGATCAAGGAGTAGATACTATACTAGCTACCATTTTCTAAACATATAATTTACTAATCACTTTATCATTGGGGGCATTATTATTACTTCAGCTTTTCAGAGAGGAAAATTAGCTCAACAAGGCTAGTTGACTTGCCTGACATCACAGCAAATGTTGAATAGCAGAGACAGTAGTAGTGAAACAAACACGTCGTTCAGTCAAAGCCAGGAACCAGATGGCATCTTGGGCTCCTACTGTTCTTTCTCCTCATTTCAACCCATCCTATTCTGGGTACTGTCAATTTTCATCTGAATTACAAAAGCAGCAACCTAATTGAAGTCATGCTCACTCTCATTTCTGGGACTTTAAATGTGTTATTTCCTTATTTTGGAAAGCATTTCCCTTACTCTAAGCTTTTCCTTGGTGAACATTTTCTGTTTTTTTGTTTGTTTGTTTTTGTACCAGGCATCAAACTCAGGTCCTTCCACTTGCGAGGAAGGTGGCAGAATCACTGAGCTAAATCCCTGGTTCCTCTCCTGGTTCTTAAAGACTCCACTCAGGATCCATCTCCTTCAGGAAATCTCTACCTCCTGAAACTAACTCAGTTCTGCTTTTTTCTGCTCCCAATATTTTCACACTATGCTAGTTAATCACTATGGTACAAATAATTTCTGTTAAATACTATAGGACTGTCTCCCATCCTACTGGGCCTTATGCTCAAGGGTAGAAACCATGTCTTTTTTTTTCTTTTTCTATATAGCACTAGCACCTAGCAGAGAAACTGGCATTAGTAAGTATATAATGCAATATTTGTTGATTGGTAAACTGTTCTCATTTGTTCTTTTAGGCGACTATATCTTAGTCAAGCTGCTGGTCAGGAAATACCACCTGAAGACATGCCTTTGGAACTGGCAGAAACATATATAGGTATATTTTATTGCAATGACACTGATGTATTTTTTTCTGTTTAATAAAGAGCTACTGAGTATCTGCTTTGTGTAGGTACCTCTTCTGCAGTAGCTATTCAGAGAACAGACACATCAGCTCCTCTAGGTTTCTCTTCTTGTAATAACTGACCTAATTGTTTTCTTCTCTGTAGTCTCATTTTCTAATCAAACTCACCTCATTTACAATGAATAGATGGCAGTGGGGGGAGATAGGGTATTTGCCTACAATGACATAATTTGAGACCCAAATGAGCCAACCAACATGTCAAAACATATAGGTTCCAAATGATTACTGTAAATTATTAGGTAACATAAAATACAATTTAGTTTCTTAAAATGATGTTCCCTTACTTTAATCCATAAATTCTATATTTCTAATGCTCTAAACTTTCAAATTAAAATTGTGACAAAAATGTGCTGCATTTTATTTACCTGTTCCAAATATATAAATAATTTCTTTGCATTCATCAGAAGAGAAGTCAAAATTGCAACCCACAGGAGAATGTAAAGACACATTGAGCTCATCAGGTGAAAGCAGTTCCATCCAACACAGCCTTGAAGACAGTGCCAGAAATATCCATCTGAAGACAGATGAAGAGGACAGCTCATGTACAGAGTCTGGGGATTCTCACATGAAATATTTACTGTATGAGGATGAGTGGGATTTCAAGGTAAGATTCATGAGACCCCAACTCTAAGAGAACACTTAGAAAAATTAGTTAAAAATAGGGATACTGAGAGCTCCTATGTATTTATTAATAAAACTGGCTCATCATTCCTTTCACTGAATACCATATTCACTCCTACTTTTTGCCAATTTACTATATATATTCATTTATGGACCTCCATTATTAGTATACAGTGTAAGTGATCTAACACTATATAATAAACTATTCCCAAACCTAGTGGCTTAGAACAATACTTTCAGAGCTTCTGTTGGTGAGGAATTTGGGAAGGGCTCTTCTGGATAGTTCTCTTCTGTGGGCAGCTGCAATCATCTGTTGGGTAGAGTTGCACTCACATGAAGGTTTCACTGGGGGCAAGAGGATGCACTTTCAAGGTGGATTAGCCACATGGTTCACAAGATGCTGCTGCCTAAACTGTGGCCTCAGTTCCTCTGCATGTGGGCCTCTCAAAAGAGTGGCTTGAGTATCCCTTTGTTATGGTGCCTGGACTCTCCCAGAGCAAGCAAGATAAGTGTCAATGTTTTGAATGACAGCCTTGGAAATTATGTATCATCACTTCCTTCATATTCTATTGGTTCATGTAGTTACTAAGTTCCAACCAAAGGGTAGAAACAACTCCTACATCTGGATGAAGGAAAGTCAGTATAATATTTAAGAAAAGTATATGGGATAGGATATGTATCAGGACATTTTTGGAAAGTACAAACTGCACATGTACTATTAATCCAAACCTGGGGAATCAAGCCTTTGAATTTTAAGTCTCTTTTTAGTACATCACCCCTCTCCCCAATCACCCCTTGCTATTTTTTTTCTTGATATTGCCCAGAAATTTAAGTTCTCATACAACTTTACATCTGGTAGGAGAAAGATAGATAAAAAGATGAAATTTAATAAACCACCATTTACCAATTAAGATTCTACCATCAAGTGAACATTTAAAGACTAAAATTCGAGGGCTGAGGATGTGGCACAGCGGCAGAGCACTTGTCTAGCATGCATGAAGACTTAAATTTGATTCCTAGCTTTACAAAAATAATAGATATAAAAATCTAGTCTCTCTACTATTGAAACACCCACATGTATATCTTAGAACCATGACTCCTGTCATATCATGATAATCTCAGACTAGTGGACATTTGTATACACAATTCCAAAACTGTATGCCACTGAGTTTAATAAAAGGCATTCTTAACTTGTATATGAGTTTTTGATGTGGAATTGTCATGTCCATGGTGTCTAATATGGTAGATCTGTCAGTTTGCTTTTTCTCCTTACATTAAATATAGCTCTGTAATTATACATTTTAAAAACAAAATACAATTATAAGCATTTTTAAGAAAACAGTGCCTCATTTTTGTTTTGATTCTCCTAAATTCAAGAAAATAATAATCCCCACAACATGCCAAGGTATTTGTACATCTCTCTGACAAGTCTGTGTGCTTTTCATTACATCCCAGCACTTGATACAGGGCCAGTCACATAATGGGCACTCAGTAAAGCTTTGATGAAGTTCAAAAGTGAGTTATAGCTTGACAGGATTCCCAAAGGAAAGAGTGTTGTATAAGGGCCTGGGCTTTTCAACCCATTTTGGGTTAGCTGTGGGATTTTACATAAACTAAATTTGTTTATTGACATCTTACACTATAGCTTGGCAGAATGTAGTATATTTTATTTATATAATAGCCAAGGATCATGTGAAAAGAACAAAATTTACGGAAAAGTTGCTCAATATTAGAATATTTGCAGTCAGAGTGGCATTTGTAGAGCCTTTCCCTTTGTTCCTGAATAATACAGAAAATTGTGTTGTGGTTATCTCCTAGCTAATAGTCTGTGTATATGTAGTTAGCTTTCTTCTCCCAACTAAAGATCTTATAGGGAGGAATGCGAATGTAGTCCAGTGGTAGAACATTGCACACAGAAGGTCCTGGGTTCAACCCCCAGTACAAAAAAGAAAAAAAGCTTGCAGAGGATCTGCTGCCTGCTCTTTGGAATAACTTGCCTACTATGCTCTGCAGGGTATGTAAGCTTACAAAGTGCGGTTTTTCTTAAACTTACGTTTCATGTGTTCCGTAGTATTCAGACAAATCGAGCGGGCAATAAAATCTGTCAAATAAAGGCCAAACACAACAAACCTAACCTATTAAGGTTGACTTGCCAGATAACCTCTCTGCTTGTTGTCTCTTCACTGATAGGAACATGTGGATTTGGGACCCCTGGCAGTGAAGCTCATGCGTGTGGAGAGCAAGAAAATGCCCATTCACTTTCAAGAAAAGGAAATTTCAGTCAAATTTGATGAAGATGTCAGCAGCCCAGAAAACCGTATCACATATAAGATGATGAACTTTCTCTAAGATTGAAAGCTGAAAGTGTAAACAACCTTTCCTTATAAATAGGAATTGAAGTATATCCCAGGTTGTCCATTTTACATGCACTTTGATCCATTTTTAAACCTGTTGTTTTTATAGATCATAATTATATTTAAAGTTTCAAGTAGGCACCCATTCGTTTGATTATATGGCATGAGTGATTAAAATAGAATACACTTTATATTTCTACATTTAAGTATTTAGAAGCATGATAAAAGGCTCAAGGTAAGTCCCTGAGGTTCCTTTCCACTTAAAAACTTACTGATTAACCTTTAATTCCAATATGAAATAGTCTGAAATGTTTCTACAAAAACATACAGGTTCTCATAGCAGACTATATAGTTTCCTCTGTCAGAATTCTAAATGACAACCAGTCTATAATTCAAGCCTTTTTTTCAATCTAAGTTTTTATAATGAAGAGAAAAATAATTAGAAATAGGGCATTCAGTTTGTTGTACAAAAATATTCCACTACTAAGAGAACCAACCTTATCAAGTCTAAACTACTGAGTTCTTATCCAAAGCAATTCCCACTTCCCTCTTATGGGTACCATAAACCAAAGACACTGATTGCCTGAATGTGAGATCAGCACTCCTTTGGATCCTCAAGAATGCCATGTCTCATATTTCTGTGATCTTTAATGATATAAAAGGTAAGCCCCTTCCATCATCAGTAGATGTTTTGGCATTGGGGGTAGGGGCAGTTGTGGGCACTGTCTTGAACCCTATGGGATGTTATCATTTCTGGTTTCTCAATCTCACATGCTAACATAATACACTTTTGTTACTGCAGAAGTAAAAAATACTGGTCATATTTTCCAACACCCCTTGGGAAGGGTAGTGCCATCAACAATTGAACACCTTTAAGCTTCCCCTGTACTCAATCTCCACTTTGCTCAGTGCTTCAGTAAACACATAAGTGCTGAGTTTCCATTACTTTCTAGTCTTGACTGGCACCTGACCATGACTGGTGCCTGGTTTTTCTCACAAAGACTTTATTTCTGTAGGCATCTAAAATAGATGGTAATTATCCTTCTGTTTTCCTACATTTTATAGGGCTCAAATGCCTCACAAGTGCCTCTTCCAAACCACTATTCCATCCTCTTACACAGAAACACTCATTTTGGAGATAAGATAGAATGATAGATCGATCTCACCCTCCACTACTATCATTTGCTTAATTTACTACATCACTCTTCGCTGAGTTTTAATTTAGCATCTGGCTTATAGGCTTCCTTTCCATTTACCCCGTGACCTATCATATACTATCACTGAGATGCTTATTAGCCATTCACAAGTACAAAATTGATGTACTTCTACTTGATCATTCCAGATCAACTCTTACCCTTTTGTGTCCCAAAGAGTGACCTTTATATCAACAAATGCTCAGCTTCCAAGTTCTAATTGGGGTTTTTAATGGGAAAGGTTCTGGCAGAAGAGCAAAGAAAGGAAAAATGAGTTATACCCCCAGTTTCTTCCCTACCAGGTCATGTAGGTTAGCAACACTCCCCACAGCTCCTATTGGGAGATCATCCTACTACAATGATGCTGTATGTCGGGTAACTGCTCCCTCCTTTTGTCCCTTCAGGCCCAGTAGTAATAATTTCTATGTATTGTTATCCTAAGGGAGTGTTACCATCCTTTGGTTTCCCTTAATCCTACCCGTATCTTTGTATATATTACCTTTGTTAAATTTTCCTTGAGCATCCTGTTTGAATGTGCTGTTGCTCGCTGGAAGCAGTTGAGGCTAGAGCGGGGGACCAACAGCAAAAGACTGAACTTAAAGACTAGATGCACCACCTACGACTGAGGGTCAACAGAGAAAACAGCCAAAAATACACCTGGGAGACCTCATGCTGTATAGGTGGGGCTTGAAACAAAAAGGTACTATCCTTCACACATAGACTGAGTCTAAATAAAACTGTAACTAAGCTCTGAATGTGTGCAATTCCTAATTGGTTTAAGGTGATTTGCCTCTTACCAAATATAATTAACAGAACATATACATTCTTTTTCTCTGGGGAAAAAAGAATGTCAATTTTAGACACTATGTTTCTTTTGTACATGTCTAGCACACAAAATACATATTGCATAAATATATATAAAGAAGCAGGGAAATAAAATGGAGACTCACGAAGAAAAACATTAAACCATTAAAGCAGTTATAAGATGATCCAGTTCAGTAGATGAGGACTTTAAGACTATTACTATGAATATGTTAAAGAAATAAAGCATAATAGGAATGAATATGACTGAAATATATTACATACATTGAAACCACCCAAAATTATGAAACCAGGGGAGAGGGTGGGATGAGAAGGGGGTAATATGATACAACGATTAAAATGTTAAACATATAAATCTGCCAAAAATAAAAACTGTTAATCTGTTTTTAAAAAGAAAATCAAAGGGGAAAAAAAAAAAGAAAAAGTAGAAGATTAAGCTCAAATGGACATCCTAAAATTAGAGTAGGGAATATAGGTCAAGGAAAGAGTGTTTGCCTCACATGGACAGGCCCTGTACTGGGGAAAACTACGATAAAATATATAAAATCTGAAGTTAATAAAAAATTGGATGGGTTAATGGCAGACTGAATACAGAAGAAGCCAAGATTAATGAAATTTGGAAGAAGTCTATAACCAAATATAGGCAAGCCCAATTCCAGAGAAAATAAAAAAATGGAGGACAGAATGATAATGAACATCTAAGATTAAGCAATATAACATATAGTTGGCATACCAAAGAAAAAGGCTAGTGAGAATAAAGGTAAAGAAAAATGTGAAGATAAAAGGGTTGAGCTTTCCAAAACTGATGAGAAAGTGATAGGTCTAAAATACTCAACAAGTACCAACTGGATTTAAAAACAAAACAACAACTCACTTGGGCACACCATAACTAGACACTGAAGCCTATCTAGCATCAAAGGAAAACCATTAAGGCAGTCCAAGAACAGAAATATACATAACTTTTAAAGAAGGAAGAGTAAAATATGGGGCAGATTGTTCACCTGAAACTATAAAACAAAAGATAATCGAAACACAAAAGTATCGAAAAGACATCAGGAGAATGTTCAACCTAGAATTATACAGAGAATTTTCCATTAAAAAAAAAGGTGAAATAAAATTTCAGACAAAAAATATCTGAAATAATTTGCCAATAGTGCATACAACTGCATTACAAAAAATACTGAAGGAAGTTCTTTAAGATGAAGAGAGGATCCCAGACTGAAGCATGAAACTGCAGGATGGAATGGAGAGAAGAAGAGAATGTTCATGACTGCCAATAATAGCCAGGTGTGACGGCACATGCCTGTAATTCCAGCTACTCAGGAAGCTGAGGTAGGAAGATTGAGAGTTCAAGCTGGCTGGGCAACTCAGACCTTACCTCAAAATAAAAAATAAAAACAGTTGAGGGCGTAGCTCATTTGAGTCCCTGGACTCAATCCCTAGTACCAGAAATAAATAAAAACCACAATAATGTCAATATCTTGTGGAATTTAATATAAATAAGCAAAGCATGACAACATGAAATCCAGCTAAAGTAGTGTTTAATAGAAAATGTAAAACTTTAAATTCATGAATTAAAAAGGTTGAAAATAAGCTGAGGTTTTTACCTTTAGAAAAAAATAATACAAAGTAGAATGACATAAAGAGCAAAAGTCAATGAAAAAGAAAGCTGATAGCTGGGCATGGTGGTGTACACCTGTAATTCCCAGCACTTGGGAGGCTGAAGCAGGAGGATTGCTGTGAGTTCGAGACTAGCCTGGGCTACATAGTGAGTTTCAGGTCAGTCTCAACTACATAGTGAGACCCTGTCTCAAAAAACCAAAAAAAAGAAAGAAAGAAAGCTGATATACAAAGGAAAACACAAGTTCAAAAACTGGTTCTTCATTGAAGTTCATTAAAATTAATAACCTCTAGTTAAGAATAATCAAAACAGAAAAATTTAAAAATGAAAAATCACTACAGCTTTTACATTTTACAGACAACAAAAACACAAAAGAAAATTAGGAAAAAAATCTCTTCAATAAATTTGAAAACATGGTGAAACATTTCTTGAAAGTTATTTCTGAAAAACTGGAAGAAATATTTTTGAAAACTCTTAATCTGTTAAAGAAATCAAGTCTTTAAAATTTTTAAAAAGGAAAGTTTAAACCCAGATGACTTGACTGGTGAAATTTTCCAAACATCTCAGAATGAAATTATACCAAACACAGACATACTCCTTCAGACAGTAAGAAAAAATAAACACTTGTGAGTCATTTTATGAAGCCAATACCAAAACCCTGTAAAGGTAATTACAAGAAAACAAAATTATATACCAATATATATCATGAACATAGATACAAATAGTAATCTATATGACAGAAAAATAGTGGCTATCTGTGGTGTGGAATGACTAGGGTTGAACATGAAGCTTTCTCATAAATGTTGATCTAATTAGTGCTGCATCCAGTTTGTTACATTCATTATGTAGGACAATATTTGTATACTTGACGGATATATTTTCATACTGTAAATAGGTTTCAAAAACTGCTTCCCAAATACCCATATTCTAGCTCATTTCATAAAGTGACAATATGCAAAGACCATGATTATATCCTGCAGTATGAAAAGTGGGAAGAATGTTTCTTGAGACAGGAAGGTTAAAATACCACCTAGAGCAGTCTTTCAAAGGTCAACAGAAAACATAATATGGAGATGTACCAATTTTCTTTTTTATGAAAGGTAAACAGCAGATGAGACTTACCTTGATTTTCTTCAGACAGAAAACACTGACTTCCCAGTAGAACAAACCTAAGAGCTTCCAATAACAAACAAAAAAAGTCTTACATGATACCTCTCAGTTCAGGCAGCACAAATTAACATTGTTTTTCTCACACAAAGTTTAGACTGTGACATTATTAAAATAAGCCAGGCATAACATGAGTGGCATTCCAGCATAATTTGTTAGTTGTGGTGGTTTCTCCTTCGCTATGTGAATTTGAACCAGAAACAAACAAACAAACAAAAGAACTTGAAAGTTTTGTTTGCTTCCAAGATGTTCAAGGCTGAAAAGGGCATCACTTGGAAATGGAAGGAGAATGAATAGTCTTCCCTTCTCTTGGTATCATTTCTTGTATTTAAGTTTGTACCTCTCAAGCAAATGCTAAACAGTGTGATAACTTTGTTAGATGACTTACAAAAGCAAACCTCAAGTTGTACCACTGCAAACTTCTTCCTGTCAATGTCACATTTATGAAAAAAGTCCTTCCAGTTGTATTGTTAGGCTTGAATACAAAATCAACTTGCCCATTCCTTCAGGGAGCTCAGTCCAGCACGAGAGCCTAAGCCACATTACAATTATTAGTTTTCAGCAGTAACAAGCAGAGAAGAAAGCAGAGATTATAGAAAAAGTTAGTCTACAAGAGGTGGGTGGAGCAATCACGCATTTAACTAGCACTATTCTATTTTTAGCGTCTTTATTAATAGGTTTAGGGAAATATTTTAAATCAAAATTAACTTAGGTGAATATTATATCAGTTTCAGTTGTCAGAATAATCATGTATGTTTTGCATGTAGTTATTCCATATTTGGGAAATGAGTACCAGGTGGTGGCAGCTTTAACTTCATTAAGGAGGTTTAAAGAAGCAAAGATAGAAAACAATAGAGTCACGTCAGCTGCCTTGGAAAACTAGGGCCGTCACTTAAGCTCTTTACACCCTGGTTTCCCCATCTGTACTTTATGGACCTAATCCTATATTGCAAGATTAAGGATTACAAAAGAGGATGACCAGGTGTAATGGCACGGATCTAGAATCCCAGTATTTGGGAGGCCGACATGGGACAATCACAAGTTCAAGGCCTGCCAGGGCTAGTGTGTTCAAGGCCAGCTTGAATTTACAGACTGTCTCAAAACAACAAAAAAATCCAAACAAAAAGAGTATACAACTTGTACACATGCAATATCTGGCAGCTGAAATAATTAGCAACATTTAATAGTAATCGCTAAAGATTCTCTGGAGGGCCAGGGATTTAGATCAGCGGTTCCACCGCCTGCCTTGTAAGTGCAAGGACCTGAGTACGATCCCTGGTACAAAAAAACCAAAACCAAAAACAAACAAACAAACAACCCCCCCAAAAAAAAACAAAAAAAAAATTCTTTGGAAACAAAGTCAAAGATGCTTAATTGTCAACAGTGTATTCTTGTGAATCATAGACCTGTGACTGTCTAATCCATTATGTGCTGAGGTGCAAACCAATCTCTAGTGACAGCTGGGTTCTACACATTTTATCAAAAGGGTTGCACCAAGCACTGGTGAGAACAAATCAACTGCCACCCTATATAAAGGTCTGTTCTGCCCCATGCAGGCTTTAAGATGCTCCAACCTGGATCTGCTTATCTCTATCAGGCTAGGGACAATAGTAAAACCAGTTCTAAAATGCTCATGTGTGTGAGGAAGGGGAATGATGTACAGGAATTTTTTTTTTTTTTTTTTTTAAGCCCTGTAGTCAGACACTGGAGCAATTCAGGGAAACAGGGAGGCTAGGGAATTTTCATGGCAAGAAAGAGCTGTTTGTTAGAGGTCTGTTTGCTCCCTGCTTGTTTCACCAGATCTCAACACAACAGTTCTCTGTATTTTCCTTGGAATAATTAGGCTCTTACATTAAAAGCAAGGAAATATGCCCTCAAGTAAAGGAGACTTTCTAAATATTAGTGACTTTAACTGGATGAAGTATTTCTATTTCCCATTCCTATGATTTTCTGAGGTTCAAATTTCCAGAAAGGCTGCTTTCTTTAACTCTGACTCTAGAATGGTTATGTTTTAGGTTATTCTCTTATGATCTGATTAAGTGCTAAATACCTTTAAAAGACTTAAAAAGATTCTTTAAATAGAAATGTTTTAAGATTTTCAGCATAGCAGATGAGTTTTACAGAAACAGTAGATTCAGATACCCTCACAGATACTTAGAATATGGTTTTGTCAGCATTTTAAGTCCTCAGTCAACTCACTGATCTCTTGCCTTTTGGACTTTGTGCCATCTTTTTGCACATTCTTAGCTATAAAAATATGCTAGCCCTTACAACATTTCCCTTCTAAGAGGAATGAAACTTCACGATGCTGGATTTCCCTCAAGTCTGCTCCAAAAAAGGGTAGTACACATTTTTATCTTAAAATTCTCAGGCATCAAGTAGAGGGATATCATAAAAACCTTACTTGAGGCTTTTGTGCAAGTGAATTAAAGTCAGACCTGATGGTTACACTTCATTTTTTACATGTTATATTTTTCCTAGCCATTTAAAAAGGGTCATTATGCTATTTATGTAAAAAAAGTCAACATAGGATATAGCTGGATCTAAAACCTGATGAAAAGACACATATCTTTAACATGTAACAATTACCCAACACTAGCAGCTTTACACTTTTGACATTTTATTTTCGTTGAAATAGTTCAATTTTAAAACTGTAATTTAAGGCTAGTTAATATGGATGAGGTGACAGTGAACAAAGTAAAATTGTAGGCACTGGGAAGGAAGATAAAAAGGAGGTAGGAGACATTTAGACAGTGGAACGGTAGATCCAAAAGCTGATTAAACAGAGATGGTTGCTATGGACCCAGCCTCTCCCAACCTCTTTTATCATTTTTTTTTGTTTTAAAAATACGGGGTGTTTCACGAATTTGCGTGTCCTCATGGTTCAGAGGCCATGCTAATCGTCTCTATATCATTCCAATTTTAGAATATATGTAGCCAAAGAGAGCCCTATCATTCTTTGAGAGGATTCAGTAAGTTGCTCAGCCAAACTGGAACTTGCAGTCCTCCTGCCCCAGTCTTCTACCTTGCTGGGATTACAGATATGTACCACCATGTCTGGCAAGGAAAATGATTATTTTCCAGTTTGTAGCTAGTGGAGAGAGGGGTTGTTCCCTAATATGGAGAACACAGAGAACACTGTGGGAGCAAGAAAGTATTGAAGGTTGCCGTAAGGTTATATCGGTGAGTATAAGGTGCATATAGGAAAAGCAAGTGGAAATATCTAATGCCAGGGATGTTTCTGGAGCTCAGGAGAGAGATCTCGACTATAGGTAGGCATATAGATGGCAACAAAGCCTGAGGGAATCATAGGGATTGCCTGAGCATTGTATGGAACGAGAGAGCACAGCCAGAACTTTAAGAGGTGAAATGGAAACAGAAGTTCCATGATGATTCTAAAACTGTGCCAGTGAACCACACAAGAAATTTATAGGTCCAGTAAAACAAATGACTATGTCCTTATTGAAAAAGCCAGTGAGATACAAAAAGAGCAAAAAACTTTGCAAGAAGTCAGGAAAGTGATTGCCTCAGGAAACAGGTAGTGTCTGGAAGAAGAGAAGGTAGGTTTGTCTTCTTAATTTGGGTATTATTTACATGTGCTTATTAAACATAGGAAATTTGTCGAGCTATATATATATATATTATATACTAAGTATATTACATATTAATAAAAGTTATAAAAAACTTTAGGTCTAAAGGTGTAAGATCCCAATGATGAATGTAACTGTACTGTATACCTAAAAATGTACCAATAAACTCAATGAGAGAAAAAACAAAAACTTTAGGACTGTTTAGGTGGAATGGCTAGAAGCCAGATGATAAAAGGTCATGGAGGTGTTAAAAAAACCCTAATTCTTTGTAGGATTTCTCAGATCTCAACTTATAAGGTGACATGGTAGAGCTTTGAACTCACTGATCAGAAAGAGCTTCAAAAGCTGAAGAACTCTTTAAAATTATACTACTGTGGTAGTATAATTTACTTGCAAAATTATTTTTTATTTAGCATTCATTTCACTGTTTTAGTTGAGCATGTGGTCATGCCACATTCCTGGCTTTCTTTGTAGCCACAGGACAAAGTTCAGGCCAGTGGAATGTGAATTTCTGAGTCATCTTTTCCCTTTTCCTCTTTCTCCATCATGCTACTTCTTAGGTTTTTATGCCACAATACACTGTGGATCATGCAGATGAGAATAAGGACTGTGGAATAGAAAATGTAACACCTAAAAGTGGACACCCAACAATTGTAAGAGGAAAAGCTGCTGTGGCCAGGTTACTTTCATGTATGGAAATAAATGTCTCTTCTGTTTGAATCACTGTTAAAGTTTTGTTACATACACCCAAAACAAATCCTAATTCGGAGGATAAAGTGTCTGTTTCATAAGAAATCATGATTTCAATAATAAAATGTAGTTTCTAAAAGACATGAAAGCCTAAATAACTTATTTTCTGTTAAAAAGGAAAAAGAAAGGCTCAAACTACTTTAGAAAGTTTTCTTCTTTAGAGAATATCTGTGGGCACCTAAAATTGCTGCCATTAGTATGCCTTTCTGTGTGGGCCAGACTGTTCAAAGCAATGCTCTTTTCAAGCTGAACAAAATACAGTACTACCAAAGCTGTCTTAGGGCCAGGAACTCAAGCTTGTTCCAAGAATATGTGGAGTGAGAGATTCAGTGTTTAGCTTCAGAAGCAGCTTATTGGAGTTCCACCAGCATGGTACTTTTTTTTTTTTTTGGTACCAGGGCAAACTCGGGTCCTTGTGCTTTGCAAGGCAGGCAGCAGAACCACTAAGTTAAATCCCTGGCCCAGCATTGTGCTTTTGATGATGCAAAATAACAGAATAGATACTACTGAAGACTCTACTTTTCAGACTTTTCAGTAATAGGAAAAAAGTGTGCTAATTATATGCATTATCCATCTATCAATCCTACTTTAATCCAATGAAGTTAGGACTAGATTTATCCCTGTTTTATAGAAGATAAAACAAGCAAAAAGAAATTTAGTAACTTCCCCAAAGGCATCTAGCTGACTTAGGTGAACCAGGATTTGAATATAGGTGTTTTACCCTTAGATAGGTTCTTAACTACAAGCTATTTTGCAACCTACTAACAGAAATTATACATTGGGGGCCGGGGATTTAGCTCAGTGATTCTGCCGCCTGCCTTGCAAGCACAAGGAACCAAGTTCGATCCTTGGTATAAAAAAAAAAAAAAAAAAATGATTCTGCCGCCTGCCTTGCAAGCACAAGGAACCAAGTTCGATCCTTGGTAAAAAAAAAAAAAAAAAAAAAAAATTATACATTGGATTTTTGGTTTTTGTGATGTTGAGAATTGAATATGCTATGCAAGCATTCTACCACTGAGCTATATTTACAGCACTATTATCAAACCTTTATCATATGCCACTGCGGATGTTCTGGCATACTAAGGATATCCAATGAGTAAATGAATAAAGTGAATCTACTTATCTTAAACTCTTCTTGGACAGCCTGCACAGCCTTTGCCGATTGTCCTTTATCTCTTTTAGTTCATACCCGCTTTGTACTTTCACATTTTCCCAATCTTATCTCTCAAACCCACATAGATTTGCTTTTGCTCCTGCTGTATAGTTAGAGGTAGGGTTCAAATTCCTAAGTGTTGGATCCAATGCAGTTTTTTGTCTTCATTTTACTTGTGCTGACCATTCTTTATGTCTTCAATTATGTCCTTGAAATCTTTTCCTTGATTCTCCTCCCCCAGTTGTAACTGTTTTCTTGGTCTCCACTAATCCTTTAACATCCCTTAATAATGGAGGTGTTCCCTACTTTAGTAATCTCAGCCACTGTTATGATTACCCTTCTGCATAGTCCTTTCCACACATGGGGTTTGTTAAGGTTTCCAGAAGTAGATTGAGAAAACAAAGATACAAACATTTTTATGACTAAAAGGGTTGTCCAGTGTATAGTACCCCTAAAATGCCAGAGTTGCTAGATTTCCCTCCTAGAAATGACAGGAGTTAAACAAGCGGAATAAGTAAACAAATACAGGTGTTAACAGAGGTAGAAAATTCCAGAATCCATTAAGGGTGGGGAAGAGAAAAAGTGGGCCTGAGTCACAAATGGAGGTCTGAAGAGGGATCCAACTGTGGTAGACCTTGAATATTTGATAAGCCAACAGCCACACAGACTCAGGACTGAAGGGGAAGGGCTAGAGCCAACCATATATATGAATCCACCTAGTGATAGATTATCATTCCCCTTCTCAGGAAGCTACATTTGGGTAGAAAATTATCAAGCTAGGAAATTTTGTGAAACACGTATACTACTCTTACAACCAAGAAGTTGTCTGCGAAGTTTCTGTAAATGTATAACTAAAAATGCTTCATAGTTTCCCATAGGATAAGGGACCTGCAAGTCTACTTCACTCCTGAATCTCCAATAAAGCTGTGAAACAATTTTGGTGAGTGGAAGGCCTTCTCAGTTGGGTGACTGACACAGAATCTCATTTCTCCTAATGTTATGGCAGTATTCTTCCTGTCTGTAAAAAAGACCAGCTCTTCCTGAAGAAAAAAGCCATATGTTTTTCCGTTTAGTTGGCCTTGGCTTGGCAGCACACCTGGTAGAATAGATTGCCTCTAACCTGGAGTGGAAGCAAATATCTGCAGTGAGTCTCTGTAATCACTATTTGTTATCTCCTGATGCAAACGGACCAGTAAGACAAAGGTTGCTTTTGTAGTTTCAGGGAGAGATCCATTCCATTAATCTGATTCCTTTTCCTTTGATATAAATTGCTCATTTTAAACTTAGTATTCTATACTTCCATCTCTTGATTATTTCCCTGAGCAAATAAATTTCCTAAAAGTAAAATTACTAGATTAAGGGTATAAATTCTCAAGTACTAACTTTCACTCCTCCCCTCCAAATAAAGGTCCATTAGCTTATACTCACCTTATGGTCTATTTTGACAAAGTCGAACTTTACATATGCAACAATATAACATCCCCAACAGCCTTACGCTTGGAAAGAAAGCATCCTTGTTTTCACTTGTATGTTTTAATCACTAATAAAGATGAACTTTTTCATGGTTATTTCTTTAAACCGTTTAATCACATTTTTCTCTTTATACTATTTGATTGCATTTAGTCACCTATACTTTTTAACCTTTCAAAATTCTTAAGTCATTTAACCCATGTGCAATTTACTTTGGACTGTGATGGAGAGAATCAACCCTTCCTTCTCTTTTCTCTAAACAGGTGTTTGGTGTTGGCTAAATTATCTTATTAAGAAGTCTGTTTTCAGGCTGGGGATTTAGCTCAGTGGCACTGTGCCTGCGTTGCAAGTGCAAGGTCCCAAGTGTGACCCCCGTCCCTCCCCCACCCCTCCAAAAAGATGTCTATTTTATTCTTTTTGTGTGCTAGGGATTAATTAGGGCCTTGCCAATCACTGAGTAAAACCTCACTCTTTTGACACCCTATGGTACCCTACCATACACTGTAACCCATTTATGCTGAGGATTGCAATTTTTTGAATTTTTGCATGAAATTCATGGGGTGTTCTTTTTTTAGACAGGGTCTTGTATATTTCAGACAGCAATCCTCCTGCCTCAGCCTCCCAAGTGCTGACCCACCATGCTCAGTGCAAAATTCATGTATGCTACATTAAAAAATTCAAGGAACATAAATTCAAAGAGAAAAAAATGTTATTATGTTCCATTTTGGGGGGGCATTACAAAAATGAAACACTACTGAAAGTTTAACATCTGTTATTAGGCTGACTGTCCCAGTCTGTTGCTATCTTTTAGGCCACTATCATATTTTAATTCACTATAACTTTATAAGACAAAGTGAATCCTCATTTGTGCATTTCTATTTCTGAACCACACATGACATAAATTCGTTGATGATGAACTAACTGTAAGATCTGCACATAGATTAGCTCCTGGTGACAGCTATCATGAATACCACACAATAAGTGCAATATGCTTGCACCTACCTCATACCAGCTGCCTGGGTTTCTTTGACGTCAGTCTTTCTGCAGTCCTTTCTCCTTTCAGTAATTAAATTTGGAAGTGAAGAGCTGTTCAGTCCAACTCTACTTCAAGACAAAAATGATCAAATACAGATTTCACTTTGTACCTTCAAAGACTAGATAATAATGCCAGGCTGAGTGTGATGCTTCCACAGAGTATTTTTGAAAGTCTAAAGAAATCAGCTTTCTGGACAGCCTGGGGTCTAGGTGAATGGCAGGGACTAGGAGATGCTTCTTTTGTTTCTTTCCCTAAGCCACTAGTCAAAAGTATAGTAATTCTGAGCTTAAAGGAGCACAGGACAGCTGTCAAATGCCCCAAGCTCAAGCAAAAACAGAGAGGGTTCATAACTGGGAAAGGTCATCAGACATAGTTAGTTACCAAGGTGAATATCTCACAATTTTAGAACAAACTTTAAAATTAGTTTTTGTAGGCTAGGGGTATAGTTCAATGGTAACACATGTGCTTAAAATGAAAAGGTCCTTGGTTTGGTCCCCTGCATCAAAAAAAGAAAAAGAGAAGAGGGAGAAAGGAAGGAGGAGGAAGAAGGCAGCTGGAAGATAGAAGGGGAAGGGGAAAGAGAAAGAGAAGGAAGAGAGTAAGAAGGAAGAAGGAGAGAGAAGGCAGAAGGAGGAAGAGGAGAAAAAAGGAGGAAAAGCTTATGTAACAAGTAAAAGAAAAGCTCTCCTGGATTAGTGCTTAACAGTTTCCATAAAACCTAACTTCACCTTTCTCCCTGTCCGCCTATAATCAGGTTCAATCTATTTTAGCAGATAGGTTAATCACATCAATGCCAAAAGCAATACCCTAGAAAACATTTTACACAACTTTTGACGATGTGGGCAGTTTCATACAGCATAAAAATTACACATGCATATTACTTTAACAAACAGGATATATACGAAATGAACTAGAAATAGTCCAGTTTAGCTAGAGCCTTAGAAAACATTTCTAATTAGTGATACTGCAAATACAGAATCATTTCTTAATACTAACAAAGAATGAACTTGTGGTTTTGAGAGAAATCACATCAAAGATGAAAACCATAGTCTTTCTTCTCAGAAGCTATTCACAAAGCAGAAGTCCAGAATGGTTGGTTGGACCCATGGGAGGAATCAAGAAAGACCTGACTGTTGATGGGAGCGGTGGAATTGTCTTTTCTGAAAGGCAAGAGTGAGTTCCTCTGGCTGTGTGCTGTGGCCTCTCCATACACTCCAACTCAGTCACTAATAGCACAGAGGAACAATACTCACCTTGGATGATTCATTTTTTTATTTGATTTTTGTTTACCCTCTACAGAATTTTAAAGAACAAGCATCTGCTTCAGTACTGAATTTTCAGTTTGGAAACACTTTGTAGATAATGATTAACAAGAGAAGAGCTATGAAATTATTTTAAATTTAGCTGAAGTAGAAGCATCCCCAAAAGACCTATTTTCCAGGGATAAGATTTTATTGGCTTGTGGAGAAGTAAAAATTAGTGGTCTAATATGAGGACTAAATATGGACTCAGTCACTAGTTAACAAAGAGATATTTTTTATAGAATGCTGAATGCGAATAACAAGATAGTAAAGCAAAAGTAAAAATTTAAGAAAACGATTTGGACAGATACAGCTATCCTCTGCAGCAAATACTCACACTTCTCTGCAGTCACTACCAACCTGTTAACTAGGGAGTGATACGGCATGGGAATTCATGGATTTATAACCTGATATAGTTATACGCCTAATAGCAGATCTACTTCACTCATTAAATTCTGATTGTTATTGTTATCACATATTTGCACTCCTTGTCAGTGACATCAGGGTATAAAAGAAAGAGGCAGAAGACCATGTGGGAAAAGAAAGTAGCCATCACCTTAGACCACAGAGGGACACAATTCCCACTGCAACTTTGAATTAATGACAGCAGGTGACAAAAATAACAATGGACCATAAAACTAAGTACTAGATTCTGCTAACTGCTAGCTTATAGATGTGGGCATCTACCACAAAAAGGTAGAATGTGGATAATTACTAGTTGGCAGAGCCAGAAAGAAGTCTGAAAATAAATGGAAATAGTCATAAAGCTTTTCATATACTGATATATACTACCACAAGGTAATATAAAATGTAAGCTACAGTCCTAAATATTAACATTTACTGAAACACCGGAAGAGACAAATCAAAATTTGTCATGTTAAGGAAGCTAACTTAAAAAAGTACAATTTCCCAGTTTATACAAAAATTGTTTAACAACAGTGAAACTTAAAAACCAGTAAGATGAACAAATCACACTCTCTAGACTATATATCTTTTTCTAACCACAGCATGTATTACATGGTCATTTATCAATGCAAAGCTTTTAATCCCTCTATCATGTAACTAACTCTGAATACTACTTCGTATTCAATATGCAATATCATAAAAGAAAGATTTCTTTGGCAAACATAATCATGTGCACCAAGGCATCAAACTCAAAAGCATTTTCTCTCTTTTTCTTTTAGACAAGGTCTCACTATGTAGTTGAGACTGACCTGGAACTCACTATGTAGCCCAGGCTGGTCTTGAACTCACAGCAATCCTCCTGCCTCAGCCTCCTGAGTGCTGGGATTACAGGCCTGCGCCACGAAGCCCGGCAGCATTTTCTTTCTTAAACCTGACCAAAGGCATCTGATCAGAAGGCAAAAATGAACAATTTTAATAAACAGTTCAGCTTACCAGTAGGGGTCTAACAAAAACTTCAAAGATAAATCTTTTTGTAAATTTAAATAAAACAGAAAATTTACATTTTATTAAATCAGTAAACACAATCACCTGGGTACATTTTTATTAGCAAAAATGATTATATTGATGATAAAAAATAAAAGGAAAAAAGAAAATGTACCTCAGATCAGAATACCATAGCAAAAGTTTTGTGGAAGCTGCATTTTATTTGAAAATCCACCCATTTTGCTAACATACATTTTAATATTGTAAACAAAAATAGAATCTGCAGACAATGCAACAAGTATGCTTAAACTCATGTACAGAATTGCTTTCCTACAATGAACTGTCCTTCTTAAGGCCCATCTCATCCCAAGCATTAAGATGTATTTACACAAAGCACCGATCAACAGTGCAGTTTAATTCATTATCTAAACTCTTGCCTAGACATTAACTTTAAAGATACTATTTCCCCTTATTTAAAAGGTACATGATCATAACATGGCACAAGCCAAATAAAAGTTTAAGGATTTTGTCTCTTTTCCCTACCCCAATAACAACTCCGAGAGTTTTACTGAAAAGAAGGAAAGTCTTGGAGTGAAAGCAATTCCTCACATTCATTTTGGAAAGGCCCTAATGTCAAATGGAAAATAATGACATGCCAAGCACAAAGCAGTAAAGATCCTTCCCAATGCACTAATGCTGAATTTAAAATGTAGTGCTTTTCCTAGTCAGTGAACTGTTCCCTTGCAAAATCCTAGGCACAGAATTGACTATAAGGATTAATGCATTTTTAATGCTTCCCTAAATCCCATAGAGACTGAGAATTTTGAAGCTATTCAGACCTATGGACTTGCCTTAGAATATTTAGTGCTCTGTATGTCAGCTGAAAAGCATTCTGAATCAGATTCATTCTTGTGGATAAAAATCAAACATACTGTATACATCCATACTCATTTTCATAAGGAGGTTTGATACAATATTAATGTTATGTAAAATTGATAATCATAAATAAATACAAATACTTAAGGAATGTCTACTGCAAACTGAATATAATTTTTTTAAAAGGAAAGTTAATTTCAGTTATGGATTCTGTGTCTGTGAGGACTGGAGAAAAGAAAAATAATGCATAATTAAGAATTATGATTTTGATCCCCCAACAAGTCCTGTTGAATTATAGTAAAGGACACAGCTCTTCTCTCCAGGCAGCTTTTCCAAATACAAATTTCACACTTTCCAAATAAGGGCTTTTCTTGATAGGTTACTGATTATGGGTATTAATAGGAGTTGAAAGAACTGAAGGGTTAGTCACCAAAAAGACAGATCTTGGTCTTAAATCATGGCAATTCTTGGCTTTATAAACTGTATTGATAGGTTCTCCTATAAACTAGTCCCAATTTCCTTCATGGGCCTTCACTGGGTTACTGTAGCATTCTAATGGAAGAAGAGTTTAAGAGACAGCAGTTTGGATTTTGCTGGAAGTAAGGATTCGCCACTTGAGCACTTGTCTTTTTGGAATAATTCCATTCTCTTCCATTTAGTCACATAAACTGTATCTGGAAGAAAAAAAAGAGGCAATGTTTAATTCACTGTACTGTAGAACGTCTTGTCTCAAGTAAAAATCCTGGTGGCTTTTATCATTCAAATTGCTTAGAAGTGCTCACAACATGTTCATTACAAACACTGATTACAAAGCAAAGTACTATCAGCTTATATGTCAGAACTCCATATCTAAAACATAATCATAGGAACTTCCAAATACTTCTCTAATTACTAGAAACCAAGAGGTGGCGTAAAGGGAATTAGAAGAAGGAAGTTCAAAGAGGTATCTTTCCACAATAAGTTCAAAATATTTGTCTATAAGGACAAATACTCCATGTAAATCTCATCTGTGATAGCAAAATTTAAACTTATTTATGAATATAAAACTAGAGATAATAAAAGTAATATTATAATGACTAAATAATTTACTTACTAACATAAAATCTGAAAGACCTATAAATAAATACTTTTAAATGGGGAATCAGTGTTCACTCAAAGAGAACACACTTACAGTTTCTCTTAAACTGCCTATCCAAAGATACTACTGAGACAGATGTGCTAACAAACTTGCCAAATTAGAAGAGTATAAAGTTCCAGAAATCTAGAGGCTAAATTGGGAGCTAAAGCAACAAGAACATATACTGTCTTCCAGCAAACAAGGCAGTGTGGATCATATGCAGAATTCTTCTAATTGAAAGGGCTTAAGTATTCATCTATTCTTAACTTTAAAACAAGTTTTTTTTCAAAAAATTGTTACTGTTTTGAAATGGAAAGGTACACATAAAATACAACCCTTTCAAGAAATTATTAAAATGAATTCTTCACAATCCTGGCCTTTATACTAAAACTAAAGGTGTCACCATTGCTACAGCGTGTAAACTGTTCTTTGAAGACTGACTAAAATCCTAGTTTTCAAGGGTAGTATTGACCTCATCCATCTGCTGTGAGCAGTAGATGCTTCTATATACAAGATGTTTCTTTAACTTTACATCTTCTAATTATGTTAAAGGTTTTTTCCAAAAGTTGTTTCTCCTATATCTTATCCTGACCAATTTTCATTCTTCATCTTTAGAATAAAGGAGGTGGTGGTAGAGAAGTGGAGGGAAACTTGAGCCCTTTAAAGAAACAAAGGAGGAGAAGAGTGATTTGTGCTTAATGTTTGGTAATTTTTAATAAGTATTTAAGCCCCCATATCTCCCCCAACAAGTAGCAATACCTAAAGTGATTTATAAGAAATCCTCCAAAGAGAGCTCTGCAAAAGGGTCCTTTCCTGAAGCTCTGTGAGGACTGTGACTGGAGGGGCTGGATGCTGCAGACAGCTGGGGGAAAAGAAGACAGAGAGAGGGAAAGAAAAAAAGATCTCAGAATGACAGAACATGAAAGCAGAAAATGTAATGAAAGAGGAAGTGGTTTGTCACCTTTAACAAAAGTTATAAAGGCAGCCTTTGTAGAAAATGGAATTATTAAAACAAAAGTTTTAAGTCACATGTCAAGTTAAAAGGTATCCAATGGCATGTGATTTTTCAGAAAACAAATTCATGCTTCTGAACTCCAAGGAAATAGTCTTAAAAGGTCAATATAAGCTGACCTATATTTAAGACTTTTAGTAGGAGGATAAGGAAAGGTGGTGGGGAATACAGCAGACAGGATGAATAATCTAGTGTGTTTTTAAATTGAGTGAAAATAGTTTCCTGTATTTCGGCGATCTGCTTAAAGATGGGAAAACTACAACCTCAGTCCAGACCCATCACATCTAGCTGCACAATGTTTTTGCCTTCTTTATAAAGAGTGGAAAGCAAGGTCCCTGGCTCTCACACTTTTTTCCCATGGAGTTGTCTTCTGCCTCTTTATACGTGTTGCAGCTGGTGTCTATTCTGTGGGAGGTGAAAGTGATAGCAGAGGTCACTTAGTCGGAATGTCAACATACTGCCCCAAGTTAGGGGAACATTTAACAACTTAAATTCTGCTTACTCTTTAAATTCATTTGCCTGACTCTTCCAATCCTTTAATTTGTTTATATTATAAAGTAGGAAGACCACTGAGCTTAGTAAATATCTTTCGTATTCTACCAAAGGTGTTCCACACCTTTGTGATTTTTCACATACGTATGTCTTCCACCAAGGTGACTTATGAGTATTTTAAACCTAACAAAAGTTTGGAACAAACTTTTAATTATTTTTCTCCTTTGTAAGGTCTGCAGAAGATGCAAGCACCAGTCCATTATGAAATGAGCTGTTTTGGGGGCTGTTCAGTTGAGCATTAAATCAAAGTTGACTTAACAGAAATAGTTTCAATTCATACTTTCAAGTCCCATAAAAAATTTCAAGCTGTAGAAATGTCTTTGCTGTCTAAATTGATGTCATTTCATTCTATTTATTTATTTTTAAGAAAAGCACTATAGAGAACGAGTAGCCAATGAATTTCCTCAAGTATTACAATGCCAGTATTAACTATTTATTGTTCTGGACCCCAAAATCAATTTAAAGATTTAAAAGTCACCCAGTTAAACGGGTGGTGAACTTACTTTCCTAATTTATATCTTGGTTTTGAAATGTTCAAAGACAATGCAAAAGAAGATGGAATGAAGCAAGGCAGCGTGTCTGGGCTTTAAGTTTCAAATATCTGTTTAGAGACAGATTTAGGTGCACTTCACTGGAAATATGCTCCCACCTTGCACTTTCAGCCCAACCATTGAGGAGCAGATGATTTTAAGTAATCATTAGTCACTGAGCTTGAGGAATCAGACATTCACACTTATTTTCATTATTAATTGAGTTTCTTTCTAAAGCAGATTTTCAATTTTACTTCAAGTTAAAACAAAAACAAACTCTGCTTATTACAGACAGACTGCACCTAAAATCTGAAATCGCCTGTGAGCGTCTCACACTAAACAAATTCTTAAACCACATTTTTATGAGCAGCAGTCCTTAAGATCTGACAGCCCCAGAAGAAAATGCTCCTGAGGAATACAAAGTTGACACTATTAGTCTTCTTAACACATGAGCACAGAGCTAGAGAGAAGTGCTAGAAGATTATACAGTAAACAATATTAAAGAGGATCAATTTCATTTAGAAAAAAAGTGCTGGTTTTTAACTAAAACTTCACCTCATCTCTGAAATTGGTAAGATATACTAATATACATATCTTACATCTAAATAGTCAAATTAAAACATAATTGATACTACCAATAAGACTACATCCTTGTGATAAATTTCTTATCAATAACCATCTGAAGCAGATGAAACTACAGTTCATACTGGTTTGGCTGCTGCCCATCTCCAAGAACTGGGACACCCAGCACCCCTGACTACTGGTCCTATTCCTTCCTAGCACCAAGCAACAAAGCACAGGCACGACCTGCCAAAGTAAGAAAGTAGGCAGCTTAAACTTTGGAAAAAGTCATCCCAATTTACTGTGTTGAGTTAGCATTGTACAGAAATGGACAGCCATATTGGTCTAGAAATGTTAATTATTTTTATTTTTTATTTTTTTCCATGTATACAGGGGTAACACATCATACTAAATATGTAAGGTCATATCTAGGTGGGTTTGATTACAGAAACTAATAAAGTATTCTCTAAATAATGAAAAAAAAAGAATAAGATAAGACTATAAGAGCAAGAAGCAATTTAAGTATGTTCAGGGACCATTTTCATCTCCAGAATTAAGGATTATTTTAATGTTACATCATTGCCTTTTCTCTTTTACTTTCCTTTTTAGTTTTATTTTAGGATTCCCTATTTTTAATGTTCATACAGAGATTTCTTTAACTGAAACACCAAATAGTTTCTTTGGTGTGAAGAACTATAATAGTACACAGGATCCTAATGAGATAATTAATAATGTGAAATAGGAAGTAAAGGCTAAAGGTGTAGGGAAAGTGGGAAGGGTGGGGGAAAGGTAATAAGGGAGAGGAAAAAAAAATGAGAAACTGAAAAAATGGAAATAAAGTGTTTGTAAATGGGGAGGAGAGGAGGGGGTGAAGGGAGGGCAGGGACAAGGGGAAAAAATGAGAAGCAAGACCTATTATGTAAAGGTACAGAATCCCAATGATGAATGTAACTGTATTGTATACCTAGATTGTACCAATAAACTCAATAAAAAGAAAAAGAAGAAGAAGAAGAAGAAAAAAAAAAAGAAAGGAGGCAGCTTAGAGAATGAGTAAGAAAAGAGAAGAAAAGAGAACACGCTACCCACATTACTGCTTAGGGAAAGCAGGAAGAAGAAAAGACTATGAAGGGGCCATGGGATGCTGATGAGTAAGAAGTAGTGGGACAGGAGATAGAAGCTGGCAGGGGAGATGGCCTAACCTGATCAGCCCAAGGAGTGAGTGATACAAAAGGACAGCCACACTGAATTTTTGTCACTGTGTTCTCACTTGCACATATGGTCTACTCTCACACTGAAGGATGTACTTCTTTTCCTACTTTTACTTGGTCCACACTCTCTTTGCAGAGCCTTTTCTTTTCTTACTTTTAATAAAACTTTGCTAACAGCTGCACTTCTCTTGACCAATTCGTTGCTCAGGACAGAAAGAACCTAGAAATCACCTCCAAGAAAGAAACTCCAGCACTCCAAAGCCTGGTAACAGTAGCAAAGTTTTAAACATCTGAAAAAGTTAACAGAAAATATGAGCTGACTCTCCTTTAGTTACCATTCTTTTGAATAAATCAAACAGCATGATATAAGGCTTCTAAGGAACATAAAATGGCAGAGAACTGAAGGATAAGGAAAAAAAAAAAACTAATATTTATCACAAAATTAATCAAATTTTACAAGCCAACACAACACCAATTATTTAAATTAAATTCTACTACAAATATGCCATCATCAGAATACTTAAAAAATTTTTTAAAAACTATCTTATACCTAAAATGTACCAATAAACTCAATGAGAGAAAAAAAAACTTAGAAAAATAAAACTACCTTTACCCATTTTTTTCAAATAATATTCTCTATCCCCAAATTACCACAGAGCTAAAAAACAAACAAACAAAAAAACAAAAAAAACCCCAGAAAACTAGTATAGCTACCAGCTTGTCCAAATCAAAATGATCTACAACACAACTAAATATGCCTTTTAAATTAAGGGGTTATATTTGTCTTACTAGTCCAATATAGATACACTTATTCTTCTCATATTCAGGAAAATGAAACATTTAGAAAAGCAGCACCTAAGTAAAAACACTGAAAATTATAAGTAATTGACGGTAAAAAAAAATTCTTGGTTGAAATTCCTCCACTACTCTAACAACCCTTGAAAAATATATTAACAAATAATTTATTTACAACAAATATATTTATAAATATATAACATTTATAAAAAAACTTTCTGATGGTATAAAAGCAAAAGTGATTTTACCTTCATTATACTGCACTGTTTTAACACTAAGAAAATTTCTGGCTAGAACAAAAAGACAGCAGCAGTCTCAGAAACAAAGCTAGTGTAATGAAAAGTTTAGGAGAAAATAAGACTAGATATATAGGAGAATTTTTCTAACATTTATCACTGACATTGTACTTAAAATTCTTAAGGAGACAACTTTGCCACACCTTTATAATTAAATTCTTTAGTCACCCAAATGCCCAAGTAGCACATAGCAATGTTGTAAAGATACATTGTGTCTCAATGAAGAAGCAAAGACAACATTACCAAACAAAAATAGCTGTAGTTCCTTTGCCTGGAATGACGAACATGGTTTTGTAGAAAGAAGGAACTGAATTCAACCCCCTTATAAAATGGGGTTTAGAATACCTAAACCAAATATTTCAATCTCCCTTTATAGCTATGCTGAGAATTAATGACAGCTACCCAGCATACTGCCTAAAATAAATAAATTTTTAAAATATTAATTCAATCTCCCCTAGAACCTACCATCAAATGTTCATCTGCACTCATCAGTGGCCTAGTTCAAATGACACTGAATCCTGCTCTTCCACTATGCCCTCAGCACTCTATTTTCTCTTATAAAATTTCTCACTCTATAATCCACCCATCATTCATTCTTGCTTTCAAATTACACCTATCTTTAGGTTCTTCAGGTGCAAGCAAATACTGTATTTAACCTGTTTCCTTTTCAGTAATTAGCAGAGGCTTACATGTTACACATATTCTAAAATATGTCAAAGTGCTTTTTAGTGAGAAAACAAACTGTATAATAATGGCCTCCAAAGTGGAATATAAGAAGAAATTAGAACTTCTCCCAATTTTAAAATTTAAACTGAGTATGGTGGTGTATGCCTGCATGTTTGAGGCCAACCTGGGGTGCATAGTGAGTTCAAGGTCAGCAAATAAACAAACAAATAAATAAAATAATA